CCGCATCCCAAAACCAGTCCAGCTCGTCCCTGCCTCCCTAACCTGTTCTTCCTCCCACCTATCCCCTCCTCCCACCTCAAGCCGCACCTCCATCTCCTACCGACCAACCTCATCCCGCCCCCTTGACCTGTCCGTCCTCCCTGGACTGACCTATCCCCTTCCTAACTCCCTACTTACACTCACCTTTACTGGCTCCATCCCCGCCTCTTCGACCTGTTTGTTTCCTCTCCACCTATCCTCTCCTTTATCCCTCTTCTATCCGCCTCCCACTCTCTCCCTATTTATTTCAAAACCCCCTTCCCCTCCCCCTTTTCTGATGAAGGGTCTAGGCCCGAAACGTCAGCCTCTCTGCTCCTATGATGCTGCTTGGCCTGCTGTGTTCATCCAGCCCTGCACCTTGTGGCCTCAATATTGACTTCACCAGCTTCAAAATCCATCCACCACCAGCCTTAACCCATGTCCAGCCGTCCCTGTCCTCCTGGCCTCCCTGACCTGACCTAACCTGTCCATCTTCCTATACACTTGTCTGTGCCATCCTTCCCAATGACCAATCACAATAACCTACCTGCATCCACCTATCACCATCCCACCTACCCTTTCTCCACCCCCAATCCCCTCCCTCTATTTACATTCAGGCTCCCCCCAAGTCCTGAAGAAGGGTTTTAGCCCGATACGTTAACTTTCCTGCTCCTCAGATGCCATCTGACCTGCTGTGCTTTTCCAGCTCTTATCCCAACTCTCTGTCTTCTATTATTGAACCAATCTTTTATCCATGTTAATATGCGACCTCCAATACCAGCATTATCAGTCTATTCTTTTGAACCAACACAGTCATTAATTCTGTTTCAGAGATAGTAGGAACTGCAGATGCTGGAGAATCTGAGATAACAAGGTGTAGAGCTGGATGAACACAGCAGGCCAAGCAGCATCAGAGGAGCAGGAAGGCTGACGTTTCGGGCCCAGACCCTTCTTCAGAAATGGCTGACGTTTCGGGCCTAGACCCTTCTTCAGAAAATTCTGAAGAAGGGTCTGGGCCCAAAACGTCAGCCTTCCTGCTCCTCTGATGCTGCTTGGCCTGCTGTGTTCATCCAGCTCTACACCTTGTTATCTCAGTCATTAATTCTGTCTGTTAGCTCAGCTTGGACCAATTTTTGTGAGAGGCTTACATGTCTAAAGGAATTGTTATATTATTGCAACGATATGAGTCCGATATGACTTCTTCAGAACAGGCAGTTAGTTTATTAGATTTTATTGCAAAAGGATTCAAATATAAGAGAAAAAAAATCTTACTACAATAAGTGCCATTGGTGATGTGACTCCCGGAGTTCTGTGTGCAATTTTGGTTTCTTTTCTGAAAGAAGAATGTGTTTTCTTTGAGAGTGTGCAATGATAAATCAGTAGACTGGTTCCTGGAATAAGAGAATTGTCCTCCAGTGAGGTTGAATAGACCAGGCCTCTCTTCCCTATAAGTATGAGAGTTGCTTTAATTGAAACAAATAAAATTCCTAAGGAGCTTGAGAGGATTGATACTAAACAAATGTTTCCCCTGTCTAGTGAATCTAGAACCCAGCATCACATCTCAGGATAAGGTCTCATCTGTTTAAGATGCAGATGGGAGAAATGTTTTCACTCAAGGAGAAGTGTATCTTTGAAATTACCTACTTTAGAAAGTGATGAATGATCAGGCATTAAGAATACTCGGAACTGACGTTAATTGAATTTTGGGTGCTATGGGAATTCAAAGATATGAGGATGGAGCAGTTGAGCTAGAAGATCAGCCATGATTTTGTTAAGTGACGCAACAGTCTTGAAGAGGCTAAAAAACCTACTCAAACTTCTATTTCTTTTGTTCTTATGTTTTCTGCTGCTCCAGCTTGTAGCAACTCTTGCCAGGAGATCTGCTATCATGATATGCCTTGCATGTCTGTGTTCCACCATCCTGTCATATGCACAGTATCGTGCCTCCACCCACTCTGTGATGCTGTTATTTTTAAGTATTTTCATTACATATACATTGGTACTGAGACTTGAAGTAACACCTCCAATGATGGGAGACTAACAGCAAAGGTAATAGGTAGTGCAAAGTGAACTCCTTTTCATAGGAGGAAAAAGAAAATTTGAGATATTGTGGTCTCAGTACTGAAAATGCAGAATCATAAATTTAAATAGATTACTTAATAACTACCTTCAGACAATATTTGAAATTAGAAAATCTTTCCCTAAATATGTTACCAAGAGAGTAGTTAACACTGTAAGATGGAAAACTTAATAGCAACTAAATTATTAATCAAGCATATAGATAGCTATCTGGTCCATTCAAAAATAATGCTTCCGGAGCTGCAGGGTGCATTGAAGTATCATGTCAAGGGATGGAAACAGAAGTGAATAATTTAAAATGATCTTGAATCTCACTAATGTTATTGCCCTGCTGCAATAACCCCATTTGTTTGGAGGTGGGTGGTAAAACTGGGGCAAGAGTCTTAAAATCACGCTCTCTTGGGTTGAGTGGAATCTACAATGAAAAAAGTATGCATGCTTTTGGAGTAAATAACTTTGATACAATTGATTCTTGTATGTCTTAAGTGAATTAATGGGATTTTGGGATCACAAAGGTATCTAAATCTGAAATGTAAACAAATCATTTAACTCCTCTTAAGAATAGAATTGTGTGTATATGTACATTATTTATAATGCACATAACCTTAGAAAGAGCTGCATTTTAGTTCTTTTCATGTTGAGGTTTAATACAGCATTATTATCTTAGCTACAAAATTTACTACACTGATAATCATGGAATAATAAAGCACCCTGTTTGGCATAAGACCACTTAGAATTACCTGTTTTTTTAGAAGTAGAATTCAGAAGTATACTTGAAATGAATAATGGTCTTGTACAGCAATTAGAAATTAAACAATTTAGATTACTAATTAATTGTGGATTAACATTTTTAGATCTTTGAAAAATATTTAGTTATAGAGTCAGAGACGTACATCATGGAAACTCACCCTTTGGTCCAACCAGTCCGTGCCGAACAGAATCCCAGACTAAACTAGTCCCACCTGCCTGCTGCTGGCCCATGTCTCTCCAAACCTTTCCTATTCATTGTATCTATCCAAATGTCTTTTAAACGTTGTAATTGTACTCATATCCACCACTTCCTCAGGCAATTCATTCCACACAGGAACCACCCTCTGTGTAAAAAGTTTGCCTTACAGTTGTCTTGTGTGCTGCTTGTCAGTCCTACAGAGTGCATTGAATAAAATCAACAGGAAATGAACTATTCTTGCTGATTATGAGACAAATCAATTTAAATTGCATCATGTGGGTTTCTATTCAATCAAAGGAAGCAGGCAGAAAATAAGTACACCTTTTATATAATTGCAGTTGTGCCAATTCTGTACTAGCCAGTATGAAGACTTTGATCAGTACCTCTTCAAAAATAACTGTTTTGCTTTATTAAACTACAATAGGCTATCCAAATGACCTCAATAACATGAAATTACAAGTTTATGTACAAGAGAACCTACTTTGTCTTTTTTTCCTCTGTTAAGAGATGACTGTTTTAGCTTGTGGCACTTGTATTCTAAGAATCTTATCAAACTCGTCCAGTGACTTTCCCCAACCACCCTGCTTTTCCAAAATGCATAGGTTCAATCAGAAGATTCTTTTCTGTTTGTGCAATAAGCTGCTGTACTAAAACAGTGTTCTGGTGATGTATTATAATCTTTTCCTGCCATATATAAATTAAGTCTCGACAATGAAAGCAATAACATGCTTCACTGCATTCTTTAGGCAGGATTGCTACTAAAATCCATTTTCCAATTTCATACTAGCTAGATTTGATTTGAAAGAAAGTGCTTTTCTATTAGCATAACCTATAATCCGTCTTAGACTGTACTAATCCTCATTTCTTGCATTCACGCTACTTTTGATAAGAACAGTTCTTTTTATTTGAATCCCACCTTATGTTTTCTTCTTCAGAAGCTTCTTACAATCTCTAATAAGTTTATCTGCATTATTAATTCTATAATGTAGAAATTTCCACTGCTTCATATGACATTGCTTTCATTTAAAAGAAAACTAAATTTAAAAACATTCTATTCTAGTTTCCACAAGTGTATAGCCAACACCACATGGGATGCCTGTGTAGTGATAAGATCCATGAAATTAAAATGGTTTCACAGAGGCATGCATTATCTTATGAGTTAATTTTCATAAGTTCCATCAAATACGACTTCAGAAAAATTCTAAATGTTTGAAATGTAGCAAAATCAGTATGTTTTAGAAATGAAGTATTTTGTTCAGATTCAAATTTTAGCACCTGGAATTCATGATTCTTGGAATGTTTCTCTGATAGTTCAAAATGGATGTTTTAAGTCATTCCGTCATTAAGTCATTAAGTCCTGTAACAAATCTTTGTTTTGTAATGTTTAATTACTACACAGATGAAAAATCATGAACCTTGAGCATCCGTACCAATGTGCTGTGCTTGAAAGGACCACCTGTCAGAACGAACAGCAGTATTATTTTATATTTGAGATGTGGGTGTCCCTGATAAGTGAGCATTTGTTGTCTGTCTCTAATTGCCCTTGAACTGAGGGTTTACAGGGCAGTTAACAGCCAACCATGTTGCTGTGGGTCTGGAGTTACATGTAAGCCAGACCAGGTAAGACCAGCAAATATCCCTCTCAGTAGGATAATCGATTTGAAATATTTGCACACATCCCAGCTTTACTCTTCCCCAGTGAAAATTGACACAGTGCTAAGTTTCTCATCAAGGCTGAATAAAGCTATCCTTGCTCCTATCCACTGAACATACTCCCCTCAGGCACAGCTCAACACTGACCTTAGGATCATTGGCTTTACACTTTGGGATGTAAAGTCTGAAGGATACTGTAACTTATTAAAAGGAGTAATGAGTATATTTTAAAACCACTTGTTGGCTAGTTTCTGTTATAAGTATTACGTTGGATTTCACTTCTTTTCATTTTCCATTTTAGGGTTCGTGGGATTATTTAATCTCCTACTGCTGTGGCCTGGGTTTTTCTTGCTTCATTATACGGGATTTGAGGCTTTTGAATTTCCAACCAAAACTGTTTGGATGTACATCCTTATTAATGGACTTATAGGAACAGTGCTTTCTGAATTTCTCTGGTTGTGGTATGATTATGATATAATTTATTATTGGAATGTAAGTCTTAAAGGAAAACCATAGGTTACATATACAAACTGTCAAGTTGCTAATCTACTAATTGCTCAAATGTTTTCAAACAGCCTCATAAAAGTTCAGATTTATTTAAGCAGAATAAAAGTTTACGTTAAAACACAAAAAACTGTTTCTCCAAGATGATCACTATTTGTAATTTGCTAAAATCCACGTTGGTGTAGATATTCTGCAATGCAAGAACTGTATATCTGCACTGTTTAACATCTCCTAATTAGCCTCATTGTCACTTCTGTTTCCATTTCATCCACCCCCTGCTCACCCCCAACCAGAATCTATGAAGAACTCTAAAGTCTTTTTGTGAACTGAATCTTTCAGCAACTGTCCAAATCTCTTAAATTCCTGTGATGTTAACAAATAGATAATTGCTTTTTAATTTGTACGTGGTTCAGTTAAAGTTAAGAGTATGCTTTGTAGATTTTCTGTTATGTTCACATTGGTGTATTTTATATGAATTTAACTTGACAGTTTTCACAAATTATGACTTTCAGTTGCTGCTGATCAGTTAGCTTGGGCAAATGATTGGCATTGTTCTTCTGAAGTAGAAATTTGTGGTTCATGTCCTATTCTAGGACTTAATCTGATGCATGTTTCAGCTCAGTACTGAGGGCTTGCTATGTGCTTGGAAATCTCATCATTCAAATTAATAAAGCAAGGTATAATCTGCCTGTTTCACAAGTCCATGTATACGTTAGAAATCCAATGAGAGTAATCAAAGAAAAGCAGCGAGTTCTCCTAGTGGTTTTTGCAAACATTCATAACAACAGGTATTAAATGAAGATAGCTCAGTGGATCATTTATCTCATTTCAATTTGTGGGAATGTTCACTGTCCAAATTGGATGCTGTGTATGCCCCAATAACAATTATTGCACTTCAAAATAATTCTATGTCAAAATCTTTAAGATTTGTTAAGAAGTTGATTAAACATTATTGATTTTTAGCTTTTATTCCTTCTTGCATTTTATCTGTATAGTGTAGTTTAGCCTGTGGACTTAGAATTTTACAATATATGGGATATTCCTAGCGATGTATGGGCTATTTGTAGCGAGTTAGAACACTATCTTTGACATTTAGAACTAATTGAATTAATGGTTTGCAGTTAACTGGTTCATTTTTTTAAAATAAAGATTTAGAACTGTTTTTATTTTTCAGGGGCTGTTTCCTTACATCTTCACTGATTGGAACCCTAGCATTAAGCCTCACAATACCTCTTTCCATGATAGCAGACATTTATATGAGAAAGGTAATTCAGTCAGTTTTTGAAAGCAGTACTGGGCCTTTTTTTAAATAAAAAATTATTGCTTCTTGTCTAAGACTTGAATGATTCTATTTCTGTGTTTAGTATTTCATGCATAGTTCCTTTGCTGTATACTAGCAATTATCAGCTATGAAGAAAACAATGTTTTCTTTTGGCAGTTCAAACAAATGTTCTTAGGTATATCAATTTTTGTGCAAAGGCCTTTGGAGCTTGCATAATTGTAGGAGAGTCCCTCACATGGAAACATTTGAGAACCAGTAGATTAGGACTTCCTAAAGCGTATTTAATTATTTTGTCACTTGCCAGTACTTGCTTTGAAATCCTTGTGAAAAGGGGAGCATGAAGGCTAATAAGAGACTAATTGGTTGAAGGAGGAATGCAGTAGAACAGATCAATAGAGAATTAGATTCCTGGAAAAGTTAGAAATAGGAAAAGGAATATAGTAGTGCATGGCTTTTCAACTCATTAAAGCTGGAAACAAATGCACCAACTGACAACTAGAATTTTTATTTTTGTCCAGAATATGAGGTACACATTACAAGAAAATAAATTAATGCTGTACGTGTGAAGTGAAAACACAAAATGTTGCAAGTCATTGTAGGTCAGATGCTGTCTGAGCTGTTGTGTGTCTCCAACATTTTTTGTTTTGGTTATGATATATATTTCTGGGCATCTAAGCTAAAAGTGAGAACATCTTCATTTTAGCACAATTTTATGATAACTATTATATCTATAATCTTGATTGTGTTCATCATGGGAGATTTATAACTAAAGTAAAAGCTCATCGGACCTAGGATTAAAGTGAAAATTGGATTATCACACAGCTAGATAATTAGAAACTGAGGATTATTCTCAATGATATAGTTTTAATTGGACAGCTGTTCTAACTGGAATTTTCTGGAACTGCTGCTCAAAGATATTAAATTTCCACATTTCAGAATATGAATAAGATGTCTTGGTTCTATAGGAAATAACAATAACAACAATTTGAAACCTTCATCATTGTAAAACATCCTGCAATACTTTAGAGCAGCGTATTCTAAAAAATATGGCACCAAGTCACATAAGAGAGATTGGATGACCAGGTAGTTGACTGTCAGTAGTGGCCTAATGGCCCATATCCTTGATTGTCAAAATTGATTCAAAAATAGTAGATGCATTGGTTGTGCCCTTCCAAAGTTCCCTAGATTCTAGAAAGTTCCCAGCAGATTGGAATACTTTGAAAATAATGCCCCTGTTCAAAAAAAGGAAGAAGACAGCTAGCAGAAAGCTATAGGCCAGTTATGCCAAAATCTGTCATTGGAAATATACTGGAATCCATGATGAAAGTAGAAGTAGGAGGACATTTAGGAAATCATCATGCAATCACACAGTCAGCATGGTTTTTATTACAGTTTATTTGAGGTTATAACAAGCAAAATAAATTTATGTGGGGCCAGTAGGTGTACTATACTTAGATTTCCAAAAGACACTCGGGAAGGGTCACCGGACCTGAAATGTTAACTTTAATTTCTCTCCGCAGACGCTGCCAGACCTACTGAGCTTTTCCAGCAATTTCCGTTTTTGTTTCTGATTTACACAGTTTCTGCCGTTCTTTTGGTTTTCATTTAGTGATTAGCACTGAGGCTGACAGGGATTTAGATCATTTTTTACAGATTCCTGAACTATCAGATGTAGTAGAATATGGAAAAATGTACGGTTATCCACTACTTGCAACATGTGAAAAACAGGATATTATTTTTAACTGTAGCATTATTTAGTCTCTCTCTGTTTAGAGAGATCCAGCTGTCCTTATACGTGAAACACAAAATGTTAGCACATGGGTTCAACAAGAAATAAGAAAGCAAATAGAATGTTGCAAGGGGATGCAGTATAATTAGGGAAGTTTTTTTCATAATGTATTGAAGAGACTGTACTTGCATTGCTGCATATAGTTTTGACCTCCTTGTTTTTAATCAGGAATATTAGAGGAAGTTCAGAGAAAGTTTACAAGATTGATTCCTGTGATGAAAAGTTGAGTGGATTGACCTGTTGCTCATTGGAGTTTTAAAGACAAGATGTGATCTTATTGAAGATTATAAGATTCTGACAGGGCTTGTTGGCTAGCTGCTGAGAGATATTTCTCTTCGTGGTAAATCTAGAATGAGGGAACATAGTTCAGAATAAAGGGTTTCCCACTTAAAACTGAAATTTGAGGTGATTTGAGGATCATTCATCTTTAGAATTCCTGCAAACAGTGAAGATCAGGATATTGAATATATTCAAGGCTGAATTAGATAGATTTTTGACCTGCAAGGAGTTGATGGTTATGGGAGATCGGCAGGAAAGTGAAGTAGAGGCCAGAATCAGATTAATGACCTTATTGAATGGTAGAATAGGCTCAACGGGCCAAATGGCCTATTTTTGCTCCAGTTATTTGTGTTCTTGGTGATCCTTACAAGGTACTATGGCTTAATTTCTAACCTAGCTCTTGAAAACCCACTGAGCAGAACCTCCATTTCTGGCTCTATTGATCTTGCATGTTACTACTAGGTCCTTCCATAGTAAGTTTAGCTTCAGTAACAAGGAGATATTTTTAACCCTAACAGTGGAGAAAGAACAAATCCTTTAAAATTTCCACCTGTAGCTGCTGAAAACATAATCGAACAACCTGACTGTTATCTCCAATTACCAAACCTTATTGATCCTTCCCCCATTTGAACAGTTTCCTTGCTATCGTCACAGATTCAAGAACTTGAGAAGCTTATTAAGAGGCAGGGGATGGCCAGAAAGTGATTTTCAATTTATGAGTCTTTGAAATCTACTGAACAGTCTGGCACACATAAGTGCATAGCTGTATGGCTCATTTAAGAGGAACAATTCAATGATTTTGTTCTAAATGTTAAATTTTGACACCTGCCAGTTGTCTATTTGGTTCCTTCTGTACGCCATTGGGCTTCTGGATTTCTGATTTACTGAGTCCTGTCAATTCATGGTAGCAGCAGGCCCGCATTAGGGCCGTCAACTGCCTGTGCCACTCCCAGGCTGTGTAGGAAGCTTCCACCTACTGGTAACCCTCCGATCCGCCAAATCACTGAACTTGCCACCAGCCCATTTATATTTAAAGATTGCAATGTGAAGTCAGGATCCAGAAATTGTCCTTATATTGGGTTTATGATCCCAGATTGAAGAGTAAGCCTCAGGGGTTACATTTGATCCAAGATGAGCTTCTGACCATGTGCACACATGATCCCTGAAGCTACCTCCATATTCTAAGATTTTGGACTGCTCTTTAATTGTAAGTTCTAAGTTAAATATAATTATAAATTAAGTTTTAGGCACCCAATCTAAATGTTTGTTTGTCCTAATTAGTTACAAGATCCACTCCTGATACAGATTTAGCAGAATTTGTTAGATTATCAAAAACTACAAGAGTAATAATGCTTAAAAAGCAAAATCAGTGGTTTTTCAGGCAATCCACTTCCAGACATCAGTTTGCAACACTAGGTTGACTTGGCATAGGTCTTTAGATCTGTTCTGTTGATTGAAATTCTTTTTCTATCTTCAATCTTCCTTCTTGTGCATAATCAGAAACATCCTGAACTCAAATTGGCTTATTAGTACATGAACAATCTCAGGTTGACTAAATAGTAAGTGCCCAATTCTTTATATAAAAAAAAAGTTACTTACTGATATCACTTCCTACTGTTAACCTGGTTCATTCTTTGACAACACTTTTTTTTTTCCTCACTTTGCATTTGCTTCTCTGGCAAAACAATTTGTACCCTCTGGTTCCCGATCCATTTACAAACAGGAAAATGTTTCCCTGTCTGCTCAATGTGGCCCATACATGATTTTGAAAATTTCTGTCAAATCTCCTCTGAAGGAGGGTCCAGACCCGAAACGTCAGCTTTCATGCTCCTCTGATGCTGCCTGGCTTGCTATGTTCATCCAGCTCTACGCCTTGTTATCTCAGACTCCAGCATCGGCAGTTCCTACTATCTCTTCATATAAAAGCATCTTGTTTTGGCTAGGAGGTAACCACAAGTACCTTGCTTTAACTTGGGAACAGGTTGTTTTGCAACAACACCTGTATTCATCTGTGAGCATCAAGCACAGGGGAATACTTGTATTCAGAATGGCTATACAGCAAGGAGCACTAGAATCAGAATAATATTAATAATGCGGACTTTTCCCAGCTGGGGGAATCTTTTAACCATTGGGTTGGGGTTTGTGAGACCATGATGGGGGACCTTCCATCGTCAGACTGGGGCTTGTGAAACTGGGACTGAGGAAACTGTTTAGAACTCCAAGTGACAGCTGCCCCAGGACTCCCTGACAGGCAGAAGACAGTGAAACTTGCTTGTTGAATATGGCTAAAGTACTTCAAGCTAATAGATTAACTCATGAGTTTGCATATACCTAAATTAGATTAAGCTAATAAATTTGCCTTGTATTAAAGCACACCTGTCTTCTTGTGTTCATTTTGATCAGGCCTTAAAAAACCCATTAGGCACTGTCATCCTTTCAATACAGTTCTAAGTTGTCTTCTGTCACAGGTTACACTCCCCCATGCTTTGTTTTCTGTAAACTTTGAAATAGTCCCCTGTACAACAAGATCAAGATCATTCTTTCAGCCCAGAAGTACCATTAAATTTTACTCTCAGTATCCTATATCTCAACAATTTTGTTTCCACAATACTGTTGTCCCTTGTGTACCATAACTTATAATTTCTTCATGATTTTGTTGTGTGACACTATATTGAACAACTTTTTAGCAGTCCATGTATACCACGTCACCAGTCTTGCCCTCATCAACCTTCTCTATTACTTTGTTTTAAAAACAATTTCAGCAATCCATGCTGACTGTTCTGAATCATTTCCATGTTTCGTAATGTGACTATGAAATCTGTTCTGGATAACTGTTTCTAGCAGTTTTGCCACCATCAACCTTGAGCTGATTGCCCTTTAGTTGCTGTACCTACTCTTCAACAAGAATACAATGTTGGCAATTCTCCAATTCACTGACACCACCTTGGACTATTCCAGGCTGATGTTCTGTATTCTACCTACTATAAACTTGAGGTTATCCAAGAGACTACCCATGTCCTATCTTACACCAGATTACTTTCACTCATCAGCTCTGTACTTGCTGACCTGCATTAGTTGCAAATGTGGTAAGGTCTGGATATTAAAATTCTCATTATTCTTTTCAAATGCTTCCATATCCTTCCGCTTCATTACTTCTGAATGAAAGATAATTGATTATTCTTTTAACAGGTCTACAGATTGCAATGTAAAACAAGTTTAATATTGTTTTGTCGGACAGAACTTGAGTATTGCTGAAAACTAATACACATTTTGTTAAAGCTTTTCATCATGCTCTCATCAGGGCAAATTCATAATTCAAGGGAAAATCCAACAATTATGTTATCCCACCTTTGTCTACAAAATAGTCACCAAATAACTAGCTTCTGTAGCAGAGTAAGAACTGAACTATTTTGCCCACAAATCTAAATGATGATGCGTTATGGTTCTCCTCAATACAAGTAATTCTGCTATAACACGTGTTTCATTAAAGTGAATTAGCTGTAACACGAGTGATGAATAGTGGATGCTGTTTGGGTAGCACGAACTTTCTGCTGTACGGTTATAGCGATTTTCTATAGCATGAGGTCACACAAGAACGCAACTGTTGCTTTACAGGAGAACTACCTGGCTTGTTCCTTTTTGGGGAAAAAGAGGAACTGCAGAAGGTGAATATCAGAAACAAAAGCAGAAATCACTGGAAAAAACTCAGCGGGTCTGGCAACAACTGTGGAGAGAAAGCAGAAGTAACGTTTCGGTTCCAGTGACACTTTCTCAGAACGGTTCCTTTTAGAGCCAGATAGAAAAGCTTAGATCAGTTCAGCCAAATAGTTTATTTTCATACTATAGACTCTATCTATTCCCTAAGAATCCCTCGCATTTGCTATAAACATGATAACCTCCATGTATATAATCCTTAAAGTTCTGCTGGCCTTCATTGAGCATAATGGTGATACACTCAATAATTGTTGGAGTCAATGACAAATATTTTAATGTTATACAAGGGTTGTTTTTATCCCGAAATAAAGCAACATAATCCCATATTATATAATATTTTATATAAAATACCATCATACTGTAAAATGTATCTTGGCAACATCCATTAAATAAGTTTGACTTAAAACTTAAATGAGGTCAAGGAAGAAGTTATTTTATAAATTGGAAAGATTTTGAAATGTCATCGATGAAATTTAAATAAAATATTACGTTGTTTCAGAAATTCTATGTTTTTTTTTAGGTGGAGTTTTCATGGTTATTATTTGCAGGATCAGTTCCAGTCTTCCTCTCTTTCTTCATTGCAACTCTTTTATGTCACTATAATAACTGGGATCCAGTAATGGTCGGCCTTAGGCGGATATTTGCATTTATATGCAGGAAGCATCGCATTCAGAGGTACTGCCTTCTTTTATATTATGTACGCTGCAAGTACTGATTGAAGATTAGAGATTACTTAGAGCAATGTGAAGTCAGAAGTGCTGAGTTATACTGTTGCAGTGCTCTTTCCATTGATACATGTTTTAGCTGTTAATGGCCACAAACATGCTTTATATTAGCAATTAAAAATGACGTTTACAAACTTTTTGGGACATAAGGAAAGTATAAGAAATTCACTTTGTGCTACTAAAAGGAGAATGAAAGGTTTAGAGAAATTTCTTCATTCAGTGTTGATAGGACTTTGCTGGCGTGATGTTGGACTGCATTGGAGTTTTATAAAGGTACATTGAATACATAACTGAAGCATGAAGATACAGGACTACAGAGAAAGCACGTGTAATGGTCCGAAGGGTATTTTTCTGTGTTGTAGATATATGTTATTATAAATTCAGTAGTGCTGCACACAGTTATGAGGCTTGCACTACTTCTGTTAAATAATAATGAGGCTGATAGTTAACACTCAGATCGGTAGATACTGGTATTGAACCTCCTCAAACTCATCTCATTTTAGGACCCGTACATCAATCGATAGAAGAAATATATTTGAAGCTGTGCCTGGAGGATTAGCAATTATTGTCTAATTCACAGAATCAACCAGTCCTGTTATCACTACCCTGTATAATCAGAACCCCTTGAGATGCAGACCTGGTTAATCTGGTTGTTAATATAAGCTGGGAACTTGCAGTGAATAAACCATAACTGACCGATATCATCTTTTCACTTTTCTCTTTTGGTTTTTATTTAAAAGTTACATGTCTGTCAGTTCTTCACCTCAAGCTCCAAGTTACTTGGAATAATATTTGACCGCATTTTGTCAAATGCAACTTTGATGTTAAGGGCAGTCACTCTCACCTCCTCTCTGGAATTCAGCTATTCTTTGTCCATGTTTGAATCAAGGCTTTACACAAAACTATGTGTGAATGTGTTCTGTGAAGATGATATAAAGTGGCTTTAAGAGGATTTGGAGAGACTTAGTGAGTGGGCAAAAGCATGAAATATGTGGAAAAATGTGAGGTTCTCATCTCACTTTGGTAGTAGGAATAAATATGCAGAGTATTTCTAAAATGGTAAGAGGTTAAAAATTGTAGATGTCAAAAAGATGTCCTTATCAATTAGTCACTGTCAGATAACCTGTAGGTACATCAAGAAATTAAGAAGGCTAATGACATGTTAACCTTAATCGCTGGAGGAATCAAGTACAGGAATAGCACAAGGCCATAAAACTTAGGAGATGTTCATCCCATGGAGCTCATTTAATGAGACCATGGCTGATCTGAAAATCCTCACCTCCACTTTCCTGTTTTTCTCCCACATAAGCCTTGATTCCCTTTCTTATTAAAATTACTTCAATGTACCTTGAATATACATAATGACTCAGCCTCTCCAGCCCTCTGTTGTAAAGCATTCCACAATTCACTACCTTCTGAGAATAAATTTCTAGTCAGCTCTGTCCTAAATGGTTACTCTGAAATTAGGCAACTATGTAGCAAAGACAATAGTATTAATGGGGGATTTTAATTTTAACATAGACCAGAAGAATCATACTAGCATCTGCCAGAAAGGTTGTGAATTTCCAAAGTGTGTCCAATACAGTTTCCTACAACGATATGCCTTGGATGCAACAAGGGGACAAGTGATATTAGATCTAGTAATCAGCAATGAACCTGATTTAATTAGTGACCTAGTTGTTCGTGAGAATTTGTCAAATAGTGGTCATAACATGATCGCATTTGTAAGAAATAAGCCAAGATCTGATACTCGAATTTTGGATTCAAATCAGGCAGACTTTAATGGGATGAGGCAGAAACTGTTCACAGGAAACTGGGAATTGCTGCATATAAGTAGAACAACCGAGGAACTGTGGATGGTGTTTAAAGAAATATTTAAATTCTATTTGGAAGAAGTTTCTACCCATGAGAAAGAAAAGCGTCACATCACAAAAAATAAACCATGGACATTTAAGGAGGTAAGGGACGGCTTAAAATTAAAAGAAAGAGCTTATAAAAAATATAAAGAACAGGACAGATCCCACAGAATGGGACAAATACAAAGACCAATAAAGGACCACAAAACAGCTTGAGAGCAGCTAAAAGGGATTATGAAAGGAAACTTGCAAGGGACATAAAAGATAATTAGAAGAGATTTTATGGTTATATAAAGGGAAAGTAGCTGGTTAAGAGTACGATTGGCCCACTGAAGGCTCAGAGTGGGGATATTATCAGTGACCATGGGGAAATGGCAGACAACCCCAAAAAGTTTTAGTTAGTCAAGGAGAGTCAGTATGGATTCATGAAGGCTAGGTCATGCCTGACAAACCTCAGTGTTTTTGTTTTGAAGAGGTGACAAAGGTGGTTGATAAGGTAAGTTGATGGAAATTGTTAATATGGACTTCCAGAAGGCTTTTGATAAAGTTCCACATAAGAAACTGTAAGCTAAGGTGGAAACCCATGGAATTGAGAGCAAATTAGTGACATAGATAGGAAATTGGTTGAGTGGCAGAAAACAAAGAATTGTACAACTGGCAAGTACTCAAATTGGCAGGACATGATCAGTGGTGTCCTACAGGGGATCTATGTTCAGGCCTTAAATATTCACAACATTCATTAATAACTTATTCATTAATAATTAATAATTAATAATTAATAATTCATTAATAATGGCATAAAAAAGTCAAATATCCAAATTTGCTGATGACACAAAGTTGGGCAACATTGTAGACCGTGTTGACAACAGCATAAAAATACAACAGGATATTGATAGATTAGATGAATGGGCAAAGCTGTGGCAGATGGATTTTAATATAAGTAAATATGAGGTTATCCATTTCAGACCAAAAATGGATAGTGTTTTTTAGAAGGCACAGAGTTAAATATATTAGATGTCTAATGAGATTTGCATAGCTCTTTAAACTGCCATAAACAGGTACGGAAAATAGTCAAGAAGGCTAATGGAATGCTGGCCTCCCTATTTAAAGGGCTAGATTATAAAAGATGCAGACATTATGCTGCAGTTATACAAAACTCTACTTGGACCTCGCTTTGAGTATTGTGAGCAAATTTGGGTACCTCACTGTCGGAAGAATGTTTTGGCCCTGGAGGGAGGTCAACACAGGTTTATAAGGATGATACTTGGACTTCAGGGGCTCAGTTATGAGGAGAGATTAGACAAATTAAGCCTCAGTTATCTAGAATTTAGAAGGTTAAGGGGTAATCTAATCAAGATCTTCAGGATATTTACAGGGAAAGACAGGGTAGATAAAGATAAACTATTTCCACTGGTTGAAGATTCTAGAACGGGAGCATTGTCTAAGAATTAGGGCTAGGTCATTCAGGAGAGATGTTAGAAAGGACTTCCAAATGTAGAGTATAGTGGAGATTTGGAACTCTCAAACAGTGATTGTTTCTAATTCAATTGTTAAATTTGAGATAGACAATTTTTTATTAAGCAAAGGTATCAAGTGATGTGGGCCCAAGGCAGGCATATGGAGTTAGGCCACAGATCAGCAATGATTTTATTGAATGACAGAACAGGCTTGATGGGCTGAACGGCCTATTCCTGTTCCTATGATCATGTTCTAGGCTCTCCCATTAGGGGAAACAACTTCCCTGCATCTACCCTGTCAAGTCTCCTAAGAGACATGTTTAGGTAAGGTCGTCTTTCAGTCTTCTAAATTCCAGTGAGCACAGGAGCAGCCTACTCAACCTCTCCTCGTAAGCAAGTTCCCACCCCGCCGCCCCATACAAGCGAGACCTGGTGCAGCACAAGGGATACAAGATCTGGAGCAGCACAAGGGGAAGCAAGCCCCAGCACAACACAAGGCAATGAGACCTTGAACAGCGTGATGGGAAGCGAGTCCCTGTGCAGCACGCCATACCCTGTTGCAGCTTAGTGCCAGTGAGGAGCAGACTGGAGGCTGGAGTGGAGCAGGACAGTTGTTGGACTGGGGCCTGGAGCAGGCAGTCAAACCACGTGCTGAGCTGCTGTTATTTGAAACTGTTTACTGAACTGTAATGTCAATCCTTTAACTATGTTATAACCATCTTATTTCGATTTAATTTTTTAGTCGCTATATGTAATGCTACTACTTTTCCTTTTATTCCTGTTTGTATCCAAGATTTGTAACTAGGTACTTGTAACTAAGATGGTGCCATTGGAGGCAGCCATTGTAAAAACTTTTTACTGTACTTCTGTACTGGAGTACATGTGACAATAAAGGATCTTCTATTCTATTCCATACCCAAGATTGGCCCAGTGAACCTTCTCTGGACTACCTCCAAATGCCAGTGTATCCTTCCTTAGATAAGGGGACCAAAACTGTTCATAGTATTTCCAAGTGTGGGCTAAAGCTTGTTGGAGTCATACTGGCACAAAGGAAGATGAGATAACAAGGCGTAGAGCTGGATGAACACAGCAGGCCAAGCAGCATCAGAGGCGGCGGAAGGCTGACGTTTCGGGCCTAAACCCTCTGAAGAAGGGTCTAGGCCCGGAACGTCAGCCTTCCTGCTCCTCTGATGCTGCTTCGCCTGCTGTGTTCATCCAGCTCTACACCTTGTTATCTCAGATTCTCCAGCATCTGCAGTTCCTACTATCTCTGAAACAAAGAAAGATGGTTGTGGTTATTGAAGGCCAGTCATCACAGCTCCAGAACATCTCTACAGGAATTCTTCAGGGTAAGGCCCAGGCTCCTCCATCTTCAGTTGCTTCATCAACAACCTTCCCTCCATCATAAGTTGAGAAGTGAGGATGTTTGCTGACTATTGGACAGTTAACCTTGCATCAGCCATTAGGAAAATTCTGGAATCCATTATTAAGAAGGTATTAAAAGGAATGTATGCAATCAATTGAAGCTTATCCATTTTGGAAGGTAAGATAGAAAAGTAGAATATTGTGTAACTGCAGAATGCAGATCTGGCTGCCATAGCACATAAATCGCAAGGCAATGGAGTATAAAAGTAGAC